AGGATTATACGTCCGTGTTTCTAACCAAAAGAGATCAAATTTCATAAAGGGATCAAAACACGAAAAGCTCGCCCTGAAGCGAATTCAGTAAGGCCGAAAGTACATCTAACAAGGTAGGAATGCAGGAATATAAATCTTTTATCGCATTATAACGGGAATAATCGTGTAATTAAAAACACCAGAGCTGCTGTCGGCTCATCACGGCCTCGAAATACATCAAACTCTGTCCAGCTGACAGTTACTCACCTGCCCGAGAAAATACCCACCTTTTATGAAACCCGATCCAATCAGAAAAATAGCCAAATCAGGTCTACACCCCACGATCGTATTTTTAAAATCTTTTTAATATTATCCTCCCATTAGAGCCCTTGACTTATGAGTGATATCTTCCTCACAAGTTCCCCAATTAAATTTTGTATTTACTTTTAATATCTTCCATAAGCGCTACATGCAATATCAATTTCATGTGGGTCCTTTGGACCGCATTTGAAGATAAATTGACCTGACACCAGAAAGGACAAAGGGCAATAAAGTCTGTGCCCTGAAGAACACTGCCCCCAGTCGGCAGGCTTTCCAGCAATACACACCACGCCCCATTTCCCGAAACAAAATACGCGGAACTGTCTGGTTCCGGTCCACCACTGAGCTAACCCGCCACACCAGCACACAAATTACATTTTAAAGTTTCTGGTAAAAGAGTTATGGCAGGGATTTATGTTAAATGCGTCTTACATTTCAGAAACGTCACTGGTTCATCCATTTCTTATGTACACTGAGGCGAGGCAACCTCAGGGTACTTCAGAGAATTTTGAAAGGAGGTTCTTTAACCTTTCGAAAAATTATAAATGAAAAACACAAGTCACTTCACGGCTACTAAATGAATAATAGTCAATTATAACGCGGTCATAATTTTTTTCAGGTCACCTTTCGAGCCGAACACCGACTTCAGCAGAGACGCGGGACATTATGATTTATTGGCTCTAAATGTCGCGGACTGTACGACTTGCAACATTGTCCGATAGAGACCCGAAACTCAAACACTGTAAATCAAATTTACATTTTACGTATATACTCAAAAATAAATTAAGGTAGGGCCTATATGAAAACAGTCAACTCCAGATCCTTGATTGTAGATAGAATAATAATATTAAAATAGATCTTGGATGGGCGTCGGCGTCCAGTTCTTGGGAAAACGGCGATGAACCGTTAGTTAGAAAGTCTCAAGTAATATTTACAATATTACCTCGCGTATATTGTCACATCGTGCGTGGCCTTGGTAAGAATTATGGTGCACTCGAAATCCACCGCACAAGACAGAACCTCCCGCCAAAACTCACCCCCACACACACTCAGAAGTAACAAAACCCACGCTTGTATATCGCGTTGGCATGGCAACCGTCATCTTCCTGACATAAAGCCTTACTGACACAAGCGAAAAGTTCATAAGCAATTTTTCCTGACTGTCAGAATATCACAGCAAACGAACGCGGAAGGTTATAACGAAACATGTGAAAATAAGCAACTTCCTGTTATGATAAGACTGATGTAAGAACCCGTTAAAGTTCAACGGGGAATGATTTCCTTCGCTTATTCCTTACCCCATCTCTTGTCTACGTTTCCTTCGCTTATTCCTTACCCCATCTTTCGTCTACGTTTATCCCTCCATCTTCTTTACTCTTGTTTCTTCCTTATCTCAATTTTATCCTTCATTCCTTCCTACTGTCCGCCTGTCTTTACTTCTCACATCTAAGACTACTTAATTGAACGTGGGGCTCCCAAATTTATTTCTTAAAAGCATCTACAGAATCTCGCATCAAACACGATTACATTCACACTTCGTAATAAATATCATCGGTCAATTCATTTAATTAATTCTGTTCTATTCAATTCAGTGCTGACGTCTCATAAAACCACGGGACCTCACAGGAAATTATTCTTCAAGGCCTGTACAAAATACGTTGTCGCCTAGCGTAATTCGTGGAAAATGTTTTTACCATCCGAAATATTTGCTGACACACCAGCATGAAGGAGTGTTCTCTGCGAGGTCCGAACACATACACAAAGTTTGTGCTCAAATCACCAGAAATAAACGATACCGTCGGCTTTTCGCGATAAAGTCTCCACTCCGGGTGTACGCAGTTAGTAACAAATTCGAACGCAAGATAAGTGACGAAGAACTGTTTTATCTTTACAGACCCCTGGGGCTGGACATGTAGAATGCAAATCGCTTAGCATAAAAATCGGTATACATAAATAACAAGCATCTAATTTATAATAACAATAATATTTTTTGTTTTTGTTTTAGCAGAAATATTTTTGAGAAACTGATAGTCACTTACATTGTCAATAAATTTCTCGCGTATTGTTAAAACCTGAAGGTTCATTACCGCGTTTATAAAATCACGCCATCGCTCCCTATCGCGCATAAGATATGCCAGTCCATCAACTTTTACACCGATCTATTTTAATATTATACAACCTATGTTATTTTTTCTTCAAATTTTCTGCTCTTTTCAGGTCTTCTGGTCACAGGAATCTATAAAACATGAAAGCATCAAAACCAGATGACCCGATGGAAGTTTTCTGTAATGTTGGCGACACTGTTTCGGCGTGCTGAGAAGACCGACTGTGAGCCATGTGCATATATATACATTCTCCGCTTGAAATATTCATAATGAAAACTAACAGAACATACATTTGTTTATAAGTCGGAGGATTACAGGGCCGAGCTGCGGAAGGATACAACTGCGCCTGGAAAGTTGCAGCTCCTTCTGAGAACCGCGGCACAAAGACTCGCTGTATGTCGCGGGAGGAGTCCCGAAGTATAAGTCATTCGACTCAAGCAATGAATACGAGGCTTGTGTTACCAGCCAATGGCAGTCGGGGACTGAACAACCACGGTCCTTCCATACTTCATCCTTTTGTTGTGATGAACTTTCTTTTGTACGGGTGAGAAACCTGGTCTGTCGCTTTTTTTAAAGGTAAGAACACAGATACACAGATGGGAGGCGTTTGAGAACAAAGTATCGAGGAGGATACTTGGAACTAAGAGGGGAAAAGTGACCCTTCCTCTAAAAATTATTACGGGGAATGAATGAAGGAAAAGATTGGCGGGGCATGTAGCTCGCATGCAGATTAAAACGAGTATAAAGTTAGGAAGAGACCACTCAAAAGGAGTTTGACGCAGATGCAGAATATTATTAAAATGGAGTGTGACGGTGTCGACTGGACTTATCTGGCTCAGGTCAGGGTCCAGTGGTGTGTTCTTGTGAACACGTAATAAACGTTTGGGGTATAAGAGACGTGGAATTTATTACACTCGTTACTGAGTTTCCGATTCTCAAGAACGAATATGCTCCATGGATTCAGAATTGTAATTTTCGTGTTCCTGAGTAATACGTCGATTCAGGTGGACGCGTAGTACAGAGAGTAGAACCCAGGCGTAGTGAGGCCTTCTTGGAAATTGTTGTTTAAACTAACTTTACGTAGAGATAAAATAAAATAAAAATGTGTAAGATTCATGTGTTGTTCTGAGATTCTCGGAAATGTAATTCATGCCGGTTCAGTAATGAAATCTGTTTGTTTCGATGTGGCGACATTTGTAGACGTTTTGAAGTAATGCTGAGCGAAGATTTTTATAATTTATATGCGTCTGTTTCGTCCTTTTTTTTTTCCTGTCTGATTTACTGACAAAGATCTTTTTTTCTGTATAGCGTAGGGATTTTTAAAGTAATGGATTTCGCTTTCGTGTTGCTCATTATTTACAGGATTAAATTCAATTTTCTTTATTTTCCTTTGAGAAATAAATCGTGGCTCACTCTGTCCATGATTTGACCCATTAAGGGCACACTTTAAAATGTCATTGAATTAAATGTAACATCATACTATGTTGGAACAAAAATATTAAATTACGAAAGGCAGAGAAAACACGTGTCCATACCTAAGCTGGGATTACAACTACAAAAACACACAATTAACAACTCCATATCACGAATGTTCGAGGGAGAAACAAAACAAAATTAGCCCTGAAGATGGCTGTCCTCTGCGTTGTTGCGCCGTGTAATCTGACAGTAGTTTACCGACGTTTCACGGGTGCTTGCTGCCTCCATCATCAGGGAGATATCATGTTTAACATCTAAATGACAATTATTATTCATTCCCCGTTTATCGAGTTCTCCCCTGAGATCTGTAAAAATGCAACCCCCCGCGTATAACGAGTCACATGTACTGTAATCTCTTAAGGAATACGTTGGGTTAGGTGCAATTCTTAACTTTTTAAAACAAGCCTCAAACTGAGTTCATTTTTTGATACATGTTTCGACTTAATAATTAATTCCACCTATGCAACTTCATGATCAAATCGAGTACAGGGTTAAGCCTAATAAACACATGATATCCATGAATTAGGCCTATGGGAAACAAAAATCAAAGAATCGGAAACAGGTCTATGATATTTCGATTAATATCTGCTTAAAATCACGGTACATGTGTTCTTAAATACGGATAATTACTAACAAATGAAACAATTCAAAGATCTACATTCAGAAACGTATACAGGGATTCATTCGTACGGTGAGAAACATTCTACAAATACAATAAACGATTATCACAGCTTAAGAGCAAAACCGACATTGGAAATTATATTTACATAACAATAGTCCATAGACTTGCTTATACGTAATATCCTAAGCACATACGTATGAATGTATGTACAGATCGCATTATGTGTGTATATAAATTAAGAAATAAAATACATGCCTATATGTCACAGCAAAATTAATGCCAATATTTGTTGTTACTATATCGAGGCTATTAGTAAATTGTCCGAAAATAATGACGAAAAAATGTAAATTATTAAGCATAAATAGCTATAAATGTTGTCTCATGATGTCACAAAATCCCTTAAGAACAGACACGAATCTGAAGGCTATAAGACGTCGGGGTAGGGCATCTTGTAGGGGGCACGTCGTGTAATGGCGACCACATTAAGAAGTCCCTACCTTGCTCTGCTGTTCCTGCTGGCTGAGCAGTTGTTCCCGTACCATCTGAAGCTGTCGTATCATCTCGGACAGTCGCCTTTCTTTTTCCAAGAACGTCTCTCCGGACAGCGCCTGGTGCAGGACCGCAGCGCCGTCCATCACTGCGCTGTTGACGGCAGCGTCGGTCGGCGAAGCGTCAGAACGGTGATCGCCGGCGCTGTGGACCAACGGATGCCATGAGCATCAAGATCTCGGTACAGATTCGCGTGCGATACTCAAACACGCGGACAGAAACTCGGCAAAAGCCATGAAGACATCTCAGAATCGGTATGAACTACCTCAGAGTACGCATAATAAACCATAGCACATCCTTAAATGACAAACTGACAGTCGCTCAGCTCGTAAGGAAATTTCCCGACTTTTACGACAGCCGAAGTCTTCGCTGGAGTCAGTCGGCACCGCGGGATGGTTCGTCCTCAGAAGGCGCTCTGGAGTTACGGAGGGTGGCTGAGAATATATTGAATAAAAAGTCGTAGAAGGTCGAAAAGGGGCGGTCTTCTTTCCTGGATGGTTGGGCGAGAGGCCAAATATTTATGTACAAGAACTACGAAACAAATGTCAAAATTAAATTCTTGCAGCAAATGCGTTGGTAGAAGCTGGCCCGGTCTTAATTTAAACTGTCTTACCTTCCGATGTCAGATTGGATTGCGTTTGAAATGTCACAACCCTTAAATGTACTGCCAGAAATGAGAAGAATAATGGTACTAGTGCCCGTGCTTAAGAATCTGCAATGAAATGGCCAAAATTCTCATCCCTGTGAGTCCAATATTCCAACACAGTATTTTACACTGGTTAAGTGTCGATATTTTCTGTTCAGGTCCCCGAAAAGGCAACTAGAAGACGTGGGTTACACTTTTCCACTCCTGTAAAACACTTGGGTTGACGCGAATGGGGCAGAACCCGTCAGTGGTCCACCTTCAACTTCTTATACAGGGTGTGCATTATTTAGCAGGTACTACATGAACTCATTACAGGCCCTGTAATCTGCCTGCTGGTTAATATGAAAGATCAGGAACTTCACTCGGAGAATTCGTCCTGGAAACGGGATATCAAAGTCAGTACAATGACTCTACGGTAACGCGGGTTTGATTCCCGGGATAGGAAATTACTTTTCCGTTGCGACTGGTGTTTCCAGACGCATTCTGAGGCTCTTGCAATGTCTACCGGGGAATCATCCACCTCGGGATGGGAAGTAAAGCGGTGGATCTAACCTCCATCTATAACTAAGGACAGAATGAAAGGAGCCTTACCTCCACATGACGTAGTGAATAAGGAGAGGAAAAGACGATATTTGAGGTTGTCACGACGACGAGTATGAAAAATGGCTGTCTTCTGGGATGTAGGACTGTGCAGTCTGGTAGATATTGACCGACGATTGAGAAGAGCTTACTACGCCCATTACTAGCCTTTAGAAGATCAGACATTATGTACCAGAATACGCAAAAAGCTACATCTCAGAAGACAGTCATCTTATAAAACTCAATCCAAGCACAGAGTTGTTGAGAAACTGCCAGTCGTTTATAGGAGCGGACAAAGTTGAATGCAGCTCATGTAAATAATATTAAACAATTTTTACAGTTCGTACCGCAAAGAAAACACAAGCAGCCATTATAAAATCAATTTATTAACGCTCTCTCTCATTCATCCGGCTTCAAAGAATTAAAACCGTATCGTGGCTGGTTACTATGTCAGCGATAATCGATTACTCGATCGATGCACCATAACCAATGAACCTGAGACATCGTAAAATAAATAAACCAATTATGTCATGGAAGTAATCAAGTTGTTTGTTCAGCACAAGATGCTTCTTTACAAAAGCAAAGTACGAACCTAAGTCAGAGAGAATTTCTCGATTCAAGCCAGTGAACTCTTAATAAATAGTGCTACCACCTGAACAAATAACAGACGCTTGACAGAATCCTGACAGTTTTTGGAGCGCAGTGCGGCCATAACGTAAACTAACGATCGTGGCACACAATTTCTCGGAAATCACAATCATCAATTATAGCAATGGCTATTCTTGGGATGTAGCGTCTTCTGTATATGATTTATTCCTTCCGCGAGAGAATCTAGTCCCTCGATAAAACTGAATCAACGTTATTTAGCTGTGACCGCAGGATAGTAGATATTTAAGGGAAAAATGACTTTTTCACAGGTTAGCGTTGGTACGCCTACATAAAGACGAAAGTTCACACCAGCTAATTAAAACTAACTTCAAAGCAGCAAAGTCACTTCTGATAAACTGACAGTCGCTCAGACAGTAAATAAATTTCTCGTGTTTTATGGAACACTAGAGTTCATCTCCGTGTTCACAAGAGCCCGCCACTGTACCCTTCTCTGAGCCAGCTTAATCTACTCCCCACGCTCATATCTTATTTATTTCAGATGCATTGATGCAAACAAACGTCCTTTCAAAGCGCCTTCTAACAAAACAAAATAAATAAATACAATATACAGACGTTCTCTTACACTGAAATGATCAAGGTAATATAAAGTGTTTACAAAATTAATTATGCCAATAAAAGTAAGTAGACCTGCATGGTGTTAGAGGACTTATCATAGGCTTACTGATATTTGAGATTCTCATGGCGGTGAAGATGTCAGTACTGAAGATGGAGGCAATATGTCCCAACGAAACTCTGGTTTCAACCTATTAACCACACGCCTTCAAATGAATGTCTGGATGAACAACGAAACTGAAGACATTTTTGAACCATCAGTCGCGAAGACCGCCTTGAAATTTGTGAGTGGATGTCCACGGCAGTGGGACGTGGATGCTGGAGACTCCACATGAAATGGGAATTAAGCAGCTGACAGCTCCAGATACCAGAAAGGGAAACCCGAGACAGGAAAGGATGCTGCAGTTGGTACGAGTAAAATTTATCTCGGGCGATGGACAATGAAGCTTATTCTGAACGTGAAACAAACGCATTTACCAACAACAGCGCCAGACTTTGTTCTTATTGACTGGCGTGACCTCAACTGAGAAGCGAAAGGTCATGCTGAATAATGAAACATCTGACCTCACACAAGAGGTCAGCTTTTTAGCGTTTGTAATGTAATGTATATCCTTATTTATTGTCCTCTCACTCTCTCATTCCAATCCTTGTGTTTTCTCTTAACCAATTCTTAGTTTTATTTCCATCGTTTATAATAAATCGGTATCATAAATGTAAATGCAACATTTTGGTGATGTTCACTTCCAGATTCATTTTTTATATTGGAGTGAATGTTTTCTGATGTTCTACATCGGCCAAAAATGAGAGTGTTGCATATCAGAAATTGTAATTAAGTTTTAAGTTTATAATTTTAACTTTTACACCTGAAGATGGTTTATATATAAACCGAAACATGTTGTAAAAAGATGTTCCAATTGTAAATCGATTGTTCGATGAGGAACATAAAATGATATTTTAATTATCTTAATTGTAAATTTTAAATACGAATTGTGATTAGACGGACAAAAACCGAATAATTAAAGCTCATTCAGATTTCGCCTACAACAGTTTTAATAAATATCCTTAAATTCTGAACCAAATGCACAAGCTAGTTGCTCAGTTAAGATGAAATAAAATGTACTTGCAATGAAGTGTCCAAAAATCAGGTCCTTTAGAACCTGCGTTCTTCCACTGCGTCAATTTTCTTACAAGGAACTACAAGGTTTATTAAAATATTTGTCTATTTCTTGCTTATCTTTTTAACACAAGGTACTTAACGCATGAAATTAATGTTTTAAAAACCAAATGACATCACACACGTAAGTACTGTATGGTCATTACACGTGATCGCTTTATGCATTAAATCGAATGCTTATACCGAGCAGCGAAACGTCGGTTCAAATATGCAAGGCACAATGCGTTCGTACCATGACCATCATTCAAAGAACGTAGTATAATGAAAATAGCGGTATACTATAACAAAGTGGCGTAATTTGTCCGGAAAGTGGCAGAACTGTATCTTCCGGCGTTGCGAGGACTGTCTGCAATTTCTATCATCCTGAGACTAAAGTGCGTCAGTCGTATATAAAGCGGCAAATGCAACTGATTACGTCACAGCCACTTTCCGGCTGAACAGAACAAAATCACTTGAGGTCAGCTTCAACTTCCTTCTTTCTCATATTTATCAATCATGCCTTTAGTATTTTAATTGTGCATTCGTTCCCATATAGACGCAGTCGTACTCCAGTCCATCATCGTTCTGTCTATAACGTAGCAGCGTTTATAAAATAAAATATTCGAGACTTTCCTCAAATTTTTAAAACCAAAGTTCAAGTATTTCCGAAATTACAGTATTATTTCTATTGGGGGGGGGGGGGGAGATTTTGGGGTTAAAACTAGGTCTCTCGGTATAAGGGAAATACGTATTTTTTAAAAAAACAAAATGGTAAATATACGTACCATCTGCTTTAACAACCAGTAACAAGTGTATTTTATCCACCGAGTGCATTTGTGCGTTTCATATGATTCTAAGAATAATCAGCGATTGTTTTACGACACAGTTGAACTTCGTAATGTTAAAGAGTGTGTTTTCTTTGCGGTACGAACTGCATTCATAAATATTCTTTTACGGGGATAAAGAGCGCAGGTTACTCACCCGACAGGTTTCCCGGTGGGAGTGCTGGCGGGTGTAGGCCTCTTCTCGTCCCTTACGTTGCTTATGTGCATCTTCGAGGTAAGTCTCTTCAGGACGTCGTCCATGGTCCTCTTCACTGGGTGCGAACTACTTGTGCTATTATTATTATGCGTCATACTATTGTTATTGTTATTGTTGTGATTATTAACAGTCCCCGCCTTCATCATTATGTCCAATGTCGGCGAACTACAGTCTGACGAACTCCTCCGTCTACTGCTACAGCTACTGTCAACGGGTTCCTGGTACTGGTGATGTTCGTGTTGAAGGTGGATGGCTGACAGGGCTGGGAGAAGTGCTGAAGGCGGAGGCACCAGGTTACTCTTTATGTCGTTCAAGTACTCGATGTCTTGCGGTGGGACAGGGCAAAGCAGACGCTGCTTCTTGATAGGAGGCGAAGGTTCGTGGGTGTCGATCGGACAGTCCTCGGGTTCGCTCCCAGACATGGGTGACGACGATGAAGAATGGGATAGTTTATACAGGGACGCGGCGGTGGCACCCTGAGGGGGTAGGTCCTCGTCCCCAACGTCGCTTACATTATTACTGCTACTCTCGTCCACGTCGGTCAAACCACCGCCGTCACTACCACCATAGCCTCCTGAAGACAATGTGTTCGGAACGCTGATTGTGGCTGGGACAATTGCCGCACTGTCGTCCTCCGGTGTGACCAAACCACCGCCTTCTTGAAATTTAGTCGGCGGAGATTTCCGCTTTGACGACATATTCCTGAAAAAGTAATGCAAAGAGCGATCAATTAGTTTTAATATCGACGTCAAGCTCAACAAACACGAGGAAAGGAACTCAAAGTAACTGGAAAAACTCGAAACTGCCTCAGGGTAAGCCAAACATTATATGAATTTAACATAATCTACCTAAATAGGATCCGTGGTTTTATTTAACAATTTAAAGCGTTATGGTACATACCGGTCAAAATTGCCTAATAATCTGCAAGTCTACACTCTTTATGTTTCCTGAAAATTCTTAGTGTAAATAGCGGTACTTTCCTTAAACAGAATCAAGAAACTGATCCTCATAAGGATATATAATGTTTCCTTTGCGGTACGGTATTCTTAAATAATAGCAGAGTGCCTGCAGCGCTACTGCGGGGAACCACCGCAGCTGCCTCGGCTACATCAACATTACAGGTTAAGTTGGGTTAGGTTAGGTTAGCTTAGCTTAGGTTAGGTTGGATTGAGTTAGATTAGATTGGGTTGGGTTGGGTTAGGTTAGGTCAGGTCAGATTAGGTTAGGTTCGGTTGAGTTAGGTTAGGTCAGGTCAGGTTAGGTTGGATTAGGTTGTGTTAGGTTAGGTTGGATTGAGTTAGATTAGGTTGGGTTGGGTTAGGTTAGGTTAGGTCAGGTCAGATTGGGTTAGGTTAGGTCACGTATGCACAGCGTCGTTACCCCGAATACTCCGGACGTTGTTCTGTGGATCTTCACTAATTGCTATTTCGGAGCAGGCAGGCGTCCCGGCGACGTTCAGCGTCGGTTTAAGACGGCGTCCCTTTGCTTCCGATTTTATTTTATGACAATTATGGCGTCGAATGGGTGTTTCGAGGCGAAAAGCGTCGCGACGCCCGGCGTCGATTTTCCATCTTCGTGTTTAAACGCATCCCGACGCTGACCTATGCAAGATATGACATCCTGGTGGCGTCACGACGCTGACATTCCTCGATGCTCGGCGTCGTTTTTTTAACATCGTGTTACGACGTCCAAGTATCAACGTGCTGTGAAATAGGCGTCCTGTGGAGATACCTCGAAGATTGGCGTCGGTTTTCCAACTTCGTGTTCAACCGAATCCTGAAGCTTGCCTTCGCTTAATATGACACATCTTGACGGCATTGGGACGTTCCGTGATGTTTGTCGTCTATTTTCATTTTCCCTTCCCATGACGCCCGAGTGTCAACGTCGACCTATAGCAAATTCAGCGTCCTTAGGAGACTTGGCGAGAACTTCGCGACCCTCGGCGTCGGTTTTCAACACTGTTTCCAATTACACCCTAATACCGACCAGTGGTAAATTTGGCGTCCTTTTCAACATTTCAGATGGTACTCCGTGTATACTTTTCGACAAATACGGCGTCTTATGAGTGGTTCGAAATGAAGGGATTCGGTTTTCAACTCCAAATTCCAATGACGACCTGCGTTAAATTCAGTATACTTTGCCGGCATCGCTATGAAAGTCGCCACGACGCCTGGCGTCTTTTTTTGTAATATCTTGTCCAATGGAATCGTGAAGCTGATCAAACTATGACGATTTGCAATGCGACGTTTGGTGTCTCCTCGATGTCTTTTTCGGTGACATTACCGTCTCTTCTTGGTCTTGAGAAGTAAGCATGCCAAGTTTGGTAAAAATTGGTTTGTCCGTTCTCGGTCAACCACATAAAATCACAATGTCATCCTTAAATGTTTGGTTAGGTTAGGTTAGGCGAGCAACGAATTGATAAGTATTTCGAAATAAATGGTCATATCCTAAACGAAGATTCGCATAATGTGAATGGAGAGACTGAGGAATAACAAGAATCTGAGTCAGGATAATCGGTCATGGGGTCAATATTTGAATCCCTGTATTGAAAATGGAGTGTAACCAAAAATTTCGGCTACAAGAATATGAGATTCAATTGTATCAAACTGTAAATTTGCCGAGAGACTCCGAAACTCCCGACGTAGCTGCTGTCTAACGACGCACATCTTCATATATTCTCCGAAATATCGTTCTTCCGGAAGTCATAAAAATATTGTAAATGGATAAGATTCCGTAGTCTGCAGGTTAATGAGTTCATTTCCGTCTGCAAATCGCAATTCGATTCAATTAGCAACGTCTTGTTCTGTCCGAGACCAGACGCTCCTCAGCCAAGAACCCTAGCAACTATACGTGACGTCACACCTCAGTCAAACACCTCTCACCTGGTCGCACGCGACGCCACGCCCGATAGAAGTTTCTAATAGGGAAATTGTCGGGGACCTAGTTAGCGCGAAGAGCTTTTAAGCGGGAGGAAATTAGGCTGCGATCGGAATCAGTGCAAGAGACCGGAAACTACAGATTCTCTCAATTTAAATAGTAGCGATATAATGAGTTAGACGCTTTAACTGGTTGACGGAACTAGTTATGATTGTCTTAAAGTCGGTCTATGACGTCACATGTTTAGTCCGGGGATTAGGAATTAAAAATTCGTAATGAGATCGAAAAGGTGTACTCTTTGCAGTACACAGAACTCTCTCTTTAAATGTATATAAAAATATCAATTAACCACCAAAGCAATTTTCCATTTGGTATCATAACCCTTACAATGTAGTCATATATTTATGGTCTTAATTTGTAGACATGACATATCTGCAGACTAATGCACGCGTATCCATGAAAATGCAACAATTTTTTTTATAGAGATCATTGACGCACTTTCTAAAACTTTTCTTCTGACGTTACTATAGCAACAATGTCGAGCCACTAATGTATTTCAACACGTATAGTTCGTATGATCATTGATAGATGGCAGCACGGACTATAGTATTTGGTTTTCCTATCAAAGAGTTCACAGGGCCAAAGACAGATGGCAATACGAATAGTTCAGATGGTCACTGATGAGTAGCATTATGAGTAATGGCGTCTTGGAAGATCAGCTTTCAACCACACGACACTGAAAATTCGTAAAGTTGGTATCACCTGTTGTAAGAAATTTAGAGTTATAAGAGAGTTTGGAATAAAACAGGATCACCAACTAAAATCAGTTTTTCAGGGTAACGGGTATTGGATTAATAGACCAGATCTCAGTCAAGCACAGCAAACACGTAGTCTATAAGGGTGTAAAGTCAGGTAACCTTGGAGGCCACAAAACAAGGCCACCACGACTAAACCATTCGTCAGTGTAATGTTTATCAAGAAAACTGATTATCAGATCAACAGGGCGCACGCAGTTACTATGATAATAGAATTGGCGATATCCTTCACATGTTAAGACACATTTTGCATATTCGCTACACAAATATGTTTAATAATAAATTTCATAATGGAAACATTAAACCTCAACTTGCACATTCCCAGCGCCGGCAGAGTCACACTTATTGAACAGAAGCCAATTCTTACACGATAAAAGGAATTCGCATTAGCACGTCTTTTGTTCTGATTCTATTTCTTGGTGAGTCTGCATCTTTTTTATAGGCTGTCTTCTTTATTCCCATTTGATGTTATTTGTTATCACGCAGTGAGGGGATGGGGCCGCGAGTGATCGACTGATCGAGGTCCATATGACAGCTGATGGTGATATCTAGAACACAGCCAACCTCAATGAGGCGACACGCAGAGTCCACGTACACTCGCTGAGGATCGATGAACACTTTTCGATCCTGATCTATAGGCGAAACGGACAGAAAACTGGAGGTAGATTTCAAGAAATGACGTAAATATATTAATAATTGCGCTTATAAACATTATGAAATTGTTATATTTAAAAAAAAACAAAAAAAAAAGCGATATATCGACTGGATGTAAAATTTAAATGCAAGAGAAAATAATGTTCTAAATCTGTGATAACTTTATAAATATTTTATAGCCTATGAAGAATTTATGACGTACATATGCTAAGACTGACAGGAAACGTGGATCTATATTAATTATTACACTCTTATGCTATTCTGTGATATATTTATCTTCAAACTTTTTCAATAGCACAGATTCTGACTAATACATCACATTTCTAAATCACATGAAATTTTTTCACTAGTCGTAATATTTCTGACTGTCAACGTGTAATATTAAATTCAACACAAAATATGTTTAGTACGCTCATGATTTATCTTCATACAAAATTTCACACACACACCTCCAGTGTAACATTAGTTATCACCATTTATTAAACTGAAACCCAAATACAGATAGAGTGTGATCGCCATATTCCAGGAAAACCCTCTTAGACAATTATAATATTTTTCCATGATTAATTAAGTTAATAAAAAACCAGAGCTCAGGACTTTATATTAAATTCGCCGCCAGCATGCTATTATAACTGGCGGTAGAAAGTTTAAACGTACAATAGATAACATGATGCTGATACTAAGTTTTATGAAAATCCGTCAGTTCTTTCTGATGACAAGGCAGGGGACAATTATAGCATAATTTCGTGAATAAACTAATCTTAGGAACTAGACAGAGGATAAAAACGTGAGGAAATAGTAGAAAAAAGATTAAACTCTCAAATAAGGGCGTGGTTTAATTTACAGTAGTAACCTGTAAAGAAATTTCGATTCTACCTGCGTTCGTGTATATAGTTTAGAAGCTAAATTTCTATTCTTACCACTCTGCGTCACTAATTCCGTTTCACGTGACGAGACAACTACACACAAATCTTTATTTCCAGCTACTGACCCACCAAAATACGAACTAACCACATTTAAAGGAATATTTAATCACCCAAACCAGTAAATTCCCCAGAAGATCTCTTGCCCTGGCAGTGAATTAGGTGGCGCCAAAGCTAGCAAACAGTTTAACCTTCATTTTCTAGTCAATTAGAGCAGTAATTTGCGGGAAGGTGCCTTTAGGGTTGGGGGGGGGGGGGGCTAAGACGAACCGAAGGCTTGCCTTGCCTTGTGATTTCAAGAACCCTTGGCAAGCTTTCGCATTACTGAACGGAAATGGAGCTCATCTCCTGTGCGATCGTGTCTTGAGGAAATTGGAGATGCGAGGGTGCACATGTTGGCATTGTAAGCCGACTGACTTCGCGAAGTGTCCCG